GGAATGGGGCGGTACACATTTGCCTGATATTACCGTGATTACGCCTGTTTTTGTGAACGACCAGATTGCGTTCTACACAGCTAGCCGAGGGCACCACACTGATATTGGTAAGCATTGAAGCGGACTTGAGCTTGAGCAACTGCTGACTTTTTAAAAAAGGCGGGAAGGGTATCACATCTATGATGCCTGACTCTAAAGAACTTTGGGAGGAAGGGCTAAACGTCACGGCAATGAAGATTGTCAGTGACGGCGTCTTCCTGGAAAAGGAGGTTCGCGAAGTTTTTGATCTTGCTGGGAATTTCCCTGACTGCAGTCCAACACGCCGTATTCAGGACAACATCTCGGACTTGAAGGCACAGGTTTCTGCGAACCAGCGCGGTATCCGCCTGCTACATAAGCTTTGCGAGGAATTTTCCCTTCCAGTCGTCCATAAGTACATGTACGGCATTCAAACAAACGCCGAGATCACTGTCCGGAATTTTCTAAGAGGCCTTGCGAAAGACCATCCGGAGAATTTGGTGCTCAGTGCTTCAGATCATTTCGACAATGGTACTGAATTGAAAGTGAAAATTACGATCAACCCTGAGACAGGCTCGGCTCTCTTTGACTTCGATGGCACGGATGCCCAAGGCTGGAGTAATATCAATTGCCCCATCTCCATCTCACACTCGGCCGTTATCTACTCCATCCGCTGCTTGATTAACCTGGAGATTCCTCTCAATCAAGGCTGTTTAGCGCCTGTGGAGATCAGAGTTCCCAGGGGATCTGTGCTGAATCCTACACCATCAGTTGCCATTTGTGGTAGTACCCTAGCCAGCCAGCGTGTCATTGACGTTATCCTCCGAGCTTTTGGTCGTGTCGCTGCATCACAAGGCTGCTCTAACAGCTTTGGCTGGGGAATGGGTGGGCGCAATCCCGTCTCTGGCAAGATTGAACCGGGTTGGAATTATGGTGAGTCTATTGGCGGTGGATCCGGTGCAGGACCTGGATGGCATGGTGAGTCGGCCGTACACGTTCATTCCACGAATACTCGCATCACGGATTGCGAAGTCATTGAGAAGCGCACGCCCGTTATCCTCCGTCAGCATTCAATTAAGAGAGGCACGGGTGGCCGGGGTAGATGGAATGGCGGTGATGGCGTGACACGAGAAGTTGAAGCTCGTATCCCGCTCAAGTCGAGTATTCTTAGTGAGAGGCGCGTGTACCGACCATACGGCTTGAATGGCGGCGAAGATGGAAGTTGCGGAAACAACTTCTTGCTACGAATGAACGCGTCTGGTGGGCTTGACAAGATCCGCCTGGGTAGCCAGGCGGTTGTACATTTATCTGCTGGTGAGAGGATGCAGATTAACACACCCGGGGGAGGTGGCTGGGGCGTACCATTGGAGTGCAAAGAAGAACACTGATTTCGGTCATACGTATAGTACTAATTTGAGCTTCCCTAGACTATTGAACTTTTGGACACCAGACGTCGATTTGCATGTAGTTTCTAGACATATCCTTATTGTATCACGACATTTGTCAATATGATTTCATCCTACCACAGTCAATCTGACTTGATCAATCATTTGAAGTCTTTGTGTATGGCCCCTCGCGGCGCCAATGAAATCATCACTGATGCCAGTATACCATTAACAGAAAACTGCATGAACGATGTTCTGTAAACGTGTTATCTGAGCTAAGACAACAGATTGCTCTAGAGAAAGATAACCTCAACACTTGCCTTCTTGATAAGGAACAATGACACAATCAGCTATAGTTAGGGCTACGCTGGAGATAAAGAAATGGTGTACATGAAGCTATTGATACGCGATATATTACTGTCCTAAAAAGGCAATATATTTCGGCTGCACCCCGATACACCTCGCATAGGTCTCGTTCAAACCTGGTTCACTAACAGTCCAAGTCATGATAGCCTTTTCATGATAGCCTTCTTTAAGTTGCCCGCTCGACCGAACATCTTCTTGTTATCTTCGTTGCCAAACACCACTGCCGAGCAGACTCTGGTGGTCGCATTATCACCATGACAGCACTCGACTATCTTCAAGTCTTCGGCCCAGGCGAGGAATTCTCCTTCCGAATCCAGCTTCTGCATTCAGAGAACTCCGAAGTCATCGCGGGAATTTTACAACACCTTCCATTTGAGAGTTTCTGCCTACATGTTGTGGTGGCGGGCGAAACCATCTACACTCCGTTCCCCACCATTGCCTCAAAGACTAGGAACATGGTACCTCGAAGGCGTGGAACAGTTTATTATAATGCCACATCGCAGAGCATCTGCTTTTGCTATGGCGTCGTCACGGAAAGCACCCCAGTAAATGCGTTTGCACAAGTATTCGATGCAGACATGGGCGCGCTTGAGAGACTAGGGAAGCTGGTATATACGCATACCATCCAGGCAGAAGCAATAGACAAGAAGATAATCAGGTGCGGTATTGTGGTGCCCCGAAGCAGCATGCTGTCCCCGACTCAAACATTGTCCGTCGAGCCAAGCGATCCGGTTTCGCACGTAAATCGCACCAGCAGTGGCGCGTACGATGCAACAAATACCTTCCTGTCAGACCAGATCTTGCGACTTCGTAAGCCCATAGAGCCTATAGAGATCAAGAAATTGCGCCTGGGATGTGTCAAAGCGCGCACAGGAACGGAGCCAGCCATCTTTCAATCTCTCATCTTCTTGCAAGGCTTCCTGTCCACGCTTGGTCCACACGTATTCTCACGATTGTTAATACTATCTCACGAGCCGGCCATGCATCTTGGGCTCATGGTGAAGCAGACGCGCGTCTTTCTTTTGGACACGTTCAACCACTTTGAATTCCTCGCCGACTTGGGGCTCGATTGTGTGCACAGGGTGGGCGAGCTTTATGCTACAGCGCTAGATGAGCTACAGACGCTCGAACAGTGGAGGTACATGACGGATAATATGCGAACGATGATACAACTGTGGTATCGGTGGGTACACCTGATATTTCCCTGGTATATGAAGGATGGGTTCGAGGGGAGGTCCGAGGAGGAGGTGGGAAAGATGCCAAGTTTAGAAGTTCTTAGATAGTGAATATCTCTAGACTCAGCCCTACGAGGTAAACAAGCGTGAAGCCACGAGGCTGGTGTGGGGTCCGTCTGTGCGTCATCGTTCCCGACCCCAAATCTCCATGTGAGCCTTCCGTAGCCCAAACAACTCAGCTCTAGACTTCTACGTCCCCCTTGTTGACTCTTCCTCGCCAGCTTCTCCGCCATAATGTCCAACAAAATCGAAAAGACGCTGCAGCGACAACGAGAAAAGTAAGCACTTCCATCTTCTTGCGCGTCGTAGTCTATGCACCATTACTTACCCCACCAGGATCGCTGAAGGCCAATACTACGAAGCTCACCAACAACTGCGCGTCATAGCGTCGCGATACACCAAGGCCCAAGACTGGGAAAACGCAACTTCGATCCTCTACTCCGGCGCACAATCGCTGCTCCAAGCAGGACAAGGCGGCTCAGGCGGCGACCTCTGTATATTTCTATTGGATGTGTTCAACAAGGGCGAAGTGAAGCCCGATGCGAGTAGCAAAGGGAAACTGCTGAGTCTGTTGAGGGCATTCCCCAAAGATGAGCCGACTAAAAAGAAGTTCGTGGGTGAGATGATAGCGTGGAGTAGTAAATACGGGGAGTATCCAGCAGGTGATCCAGAGATTCACCATGTGGCAGGGAGCCTGTTCACTGAGGGTACGGTGACTCCATGGAAATATAAACAAGCAAGTCGCTGACAGCACAACCAGATCTCGAGCCCTACGACGCCGAACGACACCTTCTCCTCGGCACCCAAGACTCCGCCTCGACCCTCTCTTCCCTCGAGTACTCATGGTACGAAGCCGACGACTCACACACCGCTCCTCTCTACTGCGCCCGCGGCGTCCTACCCTACCTCCTCACCGGCAACCTGCGCGCCGCAAATAAGTTCTTCCTGCTCTTCACCTCACAACTCGCCAAAAAGCCCAACCTCAGCACCCAAAACGTCTCCACAAAGTCCTCAGACCTACGCGTCTACCCGTCCCTACCACTACTCAACTTCCTCGGACTACTGCTGCTGAGTGTAGAGAGGGGCGATCCGAGTCTATATCGGCAGCTGAAGAGCCATTATGCGGCGGATCTGAAAGATGCTAATTGGAGTGAGGCGCTGGATCAGATTGGCGAGATGTATTTTGGGATAAAGATACCAAGGCAGGGTAATCCCATGTTCGATATGCTGGGTAGTATGTTTGGTGGCATGGGCGGTGGTGGTGGGGCGAAGAAGCCGGCTACGAGTAGATCGTCTGCGCCTGCTGCGTCACGTTTGGATTGATGGGGTTGTTTGGGAAAGGTAATGCTTTAGCATAGGTAGGGATGGGATTACGACGAGACAACGCATGCGTATTCTTTGTATATCTGTAGATGCGCCTGGGAGGAAAAGAAGTTTCACGATCACGAGAAATGAGAGAACGACTTGTGGTCAAATACATATACCATTGTACAAATTCTGATCTGGTGGTAGCATATGTGCACTTCTTACGACCCTTTTTCTAACATTGATACCCATTGTTTGCCAATCATATACTTGTGGTCAAGATGGAGCAATCAGCGCTTCGCTACAGTGAGTCGACGTGGTTATCGCCGAACCAAAAAAGAAAGGTCTGACACCGCAGAACACAGAACTGCCAATAATCACCAACATAGCAAAATAGATATCATCTGGAAATGCATCGACTGAGACTCGATAGAGTTTGACGAGGGAGGTTGATTTGGAACTAAGGCGCTTAGCCTCTCGGAGCTTATAAATATCCGGCATACAGCCACCACGGAAGTACTTACATAAAAGAAACACGTTTATCAACGACATTGGCATCTCAATACCTAAACCAGTGTAAATAGGCAAGGAGCTCCACCAAGGACGTACGAAACAGTCGTTATTAGTGAATAAGGGATTAACCTAATTACTTACGATATATACTTACTATTTCGACAACTATGCTAATTAAGCACTAATGGTTTAGTGGTAAAATTGATGCTTCCCATTCAAATTGATTGGCAGTGCTTCAGCCACGGGTTCGATTCCCGTTTAGTGCAATTGATTCTCTTTTGTTCTTTTTTGCTTTTTCTTTTTGTAATCTGTTGTTTTATGTAGTCTTTGCTTAACCTACCTCTATGAAGAAAAAATGGGAGTATTATTAGATGTGTCAGTAGCAACATTAACATCAAAGTTAGTCGGCGCAAGATATTTGGATCGTTCTTAATTGACCTGTACAGTTGTAGCCTCCTGGGTGCTACATGAGCTGTCTTTATAAGCAGTTAGTAGTAAGCGGCATCTGTAGACTATGCTGACACATCTAAAAATGCTCTTATCTTTTCCTTCATGGGGGGACTGCTATAATCTGCTACCCTATTTCAAGTATCATGAATTATTAGCAGTTTTTACCGGTGGTGTGTCAGAGCCTCGCCTACAGCCAACTCAGACCTACGCCAATTAATCGCTCAGTCTGTGAAGCCACTCGATTTCGAAGGTACAGCCAGGCATGATATCAGCTCAAGATATGATTTGGACTGACAGGCTCGGACTGCATACGCGTCCGTGGCGGCCGATGAAGCGGGAGGTAATAGTCTCGTGGAGGCTCCCCTGGGAACGAGTTCACATCTTATCGCGATCCGGTGGTACGGACAGACACGCAGTCTGTTCGCTAAGATGAGCTCACTTGATCCAAGTATACCCATAACCCACTTATTGTATAATGCTCACTTAGTGTTACAGAGTTAAAACTGCTATACTAACTTCGTAATCACCTTGCGCTACGTACGCAACTTGCCAATCCCTCTTCGCGAAGTCCTTTCGAACGATCCTCGAGCAATCCTCGAATATATACTTGGGGGCTCTGCTGGGATGTTAGGAATGACCATGAGGAGTTTTGGGTGGTTGTGTTGTGATGTGCAAGATCGGGGCTCAATTAGCTCAAGATTTCGCAAATGGCATATTTGAGCAAGCGTATGCATGCTGGGGCTGAGAGGTCGGATCCAAATGGCATATCTAAGCGAGCGAATGCATGCTGGGGCTGAGATGTCGGATCCAGTATATGCCCAGCCTTCAGCCTGCTCGTTGTTCAGCCTTGTTGGCTTCTGAATCTTCATCCTGTTCTTCTACATATATTCAACCCATATTGCGACAGTCATATGGCTGCAAACGAAGTGAGCGTAGCTACTGCAGCTTTAGTCATCGCCATCTCCGCATTATTCATTGCATTTGGCCAGCTTGTGGCGCAACTATTCTCCACCGCGGATGGCTATCGTAGGTGTCAGCCTTCCATCATAGGCGGGTGGTCAAAATTAGTGCAATTGCATTTCAGATGGTAAATGTCTTGTGCGCAAGCGTTATGAAAGCGGACATGTTCTAACTTTGATCAAGGAGTTCGTTTCGATATGAAGTCCAGGTAACTACGCCTCATTTCCAGATGAGCCACTTCAGAGAAGCGAAGGATTCTTTCCCTCGGAAGCACAACGACTTCAGACGTCAATTTTCAAGATTAGTGCTCAAAAGGAGGTCTCGGCCCACGTTCCACTTACCCGACAATGTAGCGCTCGTTGGTACCGAAGAATCCTGCAGAAGCACATTCTCCAGCGACTCTATATACCGGCAAAGTTACCAAGAAACAGAGCAATACGAAGACGCCGTGGCCTGGCTCTCGCTTCTAGATGATGTCCATAGGCTTCAGTATGCCATGATTCAGAACAACGGTGCTAGATTGAATACCGCTTCACCTGAGATGTTCCTGGTGTGTATCACGCAGAAAACGCGAACCTGGGACTGTAAGTGTTATCGAAATACAGGATGTCATTGAGGCAATGCTGACATCTCTGAAAATCTTATAGTAATGCCTCCCGATATTGTCAGACCAATTGCTAGCACAACCATGGGTTGTCTTGTCACTATTATCCATCGCATGGGTATGATCTGGTCGGATATCAATCTCGACGAAGGCAAATCCCGCGCAACAGGATACAATCGAAGCTTCTCAGCATCTGTTGTACGTGGCATGGGACTTGTTGTTGAGTACAGTAGCGAAAGATTCTCCAGCGTTGTAAATTCAAACCAGGAGTTTCGAGTACCTTCGATCCTCGCCGATATGGTAGGAACTATAGCAGCAGCGCGCACATCGAAGTTAATCCACTAATGGTACCAGATGGCCTGCGGCATCCTTGCCACTGGAATCACAGGAAGACAGCTGCGGCTGAGAAAAGCAAAATTGCCACTGATGGATGAGTTGGCCGAGGCGCTTACATTCTTCGAAGTCGACGACGATGCGCTTGAATCCTTGAAAATTAGTTTATCACAACAATCGAGCCTGGCTCATAGATTACCTGGCCTGACGGACGTCATGGGCATGTGGTCGGATTGGATCCCTGTGAACGGGTCATGTATAAATACCGTCGACAATCCCTTTTCCATCCCTGTAGTCACAATGGGCGAGAGAGCTGAAGCACGCGTCGTGTGGAGGTGGCTACTCCAACAAAGGAAAAGATCGCTCTCCGACCAGTTGAAGCGAGTACTGCAAATTTACGATGACTGGGAGAATTCAGAGCCGAAGAGGTTCTACGAATCGTACCGCGTGATCGGCAACAAAGTCAAGGATGAGAAGATGATGGCGTATTTCAAAAGGATCTTCGACGAAGCGAACGCGTACCTGACATCGCCACCCATGTCTCGCCTGCTATTTACAAAGCTCCTGCGGAAACACATCAATGTCAACGCGCATTCTCTCAAGCAAGCAAAGAAAATCCCGCAAACTGGACCAAAGGCTCGAAAGCGACCCCAAATTATGACTTCCGGACCGAGATCAGGAGGCCAGTATTATCAAGGTGATCACATGTTCACCGAACGCGCCTTCTTCTATGCGGAGAATGTAACCGAAGTGGTCCGTGAGATGGAAAGTTCGGACGGGCTGGATCCCATAGAGCGACCGTGTTACGAAGACGCGTGGTGGATGCTGATGCTTCGTCTACAAGCCTGGACCATGGGGATAAAGGTGGTAGATCGGGACGGTGCCAAGATTCCGAGTCACTACTATGATAATAAAACTCGAGTGTATATTCTTTGAGATAGAAATATGCCTTACCTACAGGAAAACGCAATTCTAGTCAGTCAGTCAGTCAGTCAGTCAGTCAGTCAGTCAGTCAGTCAGTCAGTCAGTCAGTCAGTCAGTCAGTCAGTAAGGAGGTCGCAGGAAGTGCCATATCCACAAATAGAATCGACTATCCATTGCTGCATTGCAGTGAAAAGGTCCCCAAAACGCGTTCACCAGACAGCACAGTCTCAATCAATTGCTTCCTTCCCTAATTTAAAGCCCCCTCGATCGCAGCGGACACATGTGAAAACAGCACCTGACCAAACATCAATTCCCGTCTTGTTTCCTCCATCCTCCCGCCGCGTAGTTTCTCAGGCCCTCGAACAACATGCATCCACGTACTATCAACCACATTGAAGCAAAACTACCGTGGACAACTAAATCGAAACAAAAACATCTCATCGTATCGCTAAACGCTTCGAGCACCCAACTACTGAACCATAGTTAAGCAAAAGGTATGAGTGGATCAGGTAAGTGGTGCATAAGACACAACATCAAGGCGGAAGGAAGGAAGTACCTTTGAGCTGTCTACGATCGAGTGCAGTGCAGATGGAGAGACAACCTTTGTTAAAGGAAAAGTAGCACCGGGTAACAACTTAATCAAGACGAGTGATATGTATCATTATTAATATATTCCATTAAGCTCGTCAATTCGCCATCGAAGGAGTAATATACAAAAACCACCAAGGCGAAGAAAAGGAAAGAACAAGGGGTATAATTCACTCCAGTTCACTCCACTCCACTCCACTCCAATCCCCCCACTCATTCATCCATCGATCAACCACCCCATATCGCATGGCAGCATGGCATGGCATGGCATGGCATCCGCTCCACTCAACTAACAATGCAAGAATACGCATACACGCCACAAACCCGTTTCGAACCGTCGTAATCTCTAGAAAACAACGCCATGACATGTCAGCAACGCTCAGCAAGAAAGAAAGAAAATTGTTCGAACCGAATAGTGAACAAGATAGTGAACAGGGCAGTGAAACAGGGCGCAATCTACATGACAACGCACTTGTCCCTCTCCGGACCTGGGCCCGCCATAGGCCCCGAACTCTGCCTTCTCTCCGGTCTCACTCCACCAGGCGACTGCTGCATCATCGGTCTCCCCAGCCCCGAAGTGCGCCGTCCCCCAGCACTAGCGCCTGGCGGTGGCAACGGCATCCCACTGCTATTCACCTGATACGCACTCCCCTGCGGCGGCAGTGGTGCTTGTGGATTCGCTGGATGGCCTGGTGGCGGGTTGTATCGCGGGGAGGTTGACGCCTCTTCGTAGGTGGGTGGTGGTGCGGGATCGTTGTTTGGGCGGTGGGTGGTGATGTTGTTGCGGCGGGGTGGGATAACGGGAGCTTGTTCAGCAGCAGCAGCACCACCACGAGAGGTTCGGCGGTTGGAGTTTGGGTTGCTGAAGTTGGTGTTGGGGCCAGGCTGGCGGGGTTGCCCGTTGTGCGCTGCTATTACATTCATGGAGAGTTGGTTTTCGCGCTCGCGTTGGTCTGCTTCGCGTCTTTGACGGTCCTCTTCTTCCTCTTGGAGTTGGAGGGCTAGGGCGAGGTCGTGGTCTTCTTGCTCGGCTCGACTTAGTCCTCCTGGGGAAGTTGGTTCGGCGTCATGTGAAGAGGTTTGTGTGTTGGCAAAAGGTTGCTGCCTATCATTTCCTCGCCTGGATTGAACGGTCGTCCAACCTTGGTCGTTATGGCTCTGTGTGGGTTGCTGCTCTTGCGGTCTAAAAGGTGTACTACTATTATCGACAGAGCGGAAGTCGCCTGAGAACAGTTGACTTCCTTGGCCATTCACATCGGTAAGTGACTCCCAAACAATCTCATCGTGAGTAGAGTAGCCCTGATCTGTGACTAGGGTGACGAGTTGGCCAGTGCGTGGATCCTTGCAAAGCGTAGAGAAGTGATCGTTTCTGAACAGAATGGCGACTTGACCATCATGCAGAGTGTC